ATCTCATGGAATATTAGAATTTAGGTTCCCAAGATCAGGGGTTTTCCCCCAGAATCTGCTGTGTTCTTCAGACTTTTAAAGATGAATAATGTGAAAAATTAGTTTTCTGTCAGATTGACTGAGGCAGTAGTACGGAGGCAAGCATGAGGTCCCTTGTCTCAGCAGGAAGGTGGCTTTCAAACCTAATCACAGACACTTAAGTGCCAACTTAGTTAATCACTTCATTGCAGAGTGATACAGCGTGTCTGAAGATATCTTCCTTCCTTTCAAAACCTTTCCAAGCAGAAAGGCAGCAGCCTCTCCATTTTCAAACAGTGATTTTTTTTTTTTTTTAAATGCAAGTTATTTGTGATTTGGATGATTCTTCATTTGCAGTCAGTAAAGAGTTCCTAAGGATTAGTCAAAATGAAAAAGAAAAATATTCAACTAAAGACTTGAAGAGGATTTATTTAATATGAGAGGGTGTCCAGAGTGGGCAGGATGGTGATGCCCAGAAGTGAGAGACAGAAAGACATGGAAGTTTGAAGAGGCAGTGTGAATGCCAGTGGTGGATTTATTGTTAGAGCTGAAATTACACTGGCAGCTGCTCTGTTGATAATGGAGGAAACAAAGGATCAAGTTTCTACTCTTTTCTGATAATAGGAAGTCACTGAAAGGGAGACGGAGAAATGGTCATGTTGTCACATTGCCAGGAGCAAGATAACAGTTTCTCTTGGAGTATTTTAATCCCCAATGGTTTGGAGAGAGAGGGATTTAATTACAGAGATCTGAGATAAAGCTCTTAATGCAAATATCCTCATGAAGAGGGTGCCAAATCAGGATTTTGCTATCTGTACCTGTCTTCAGAATTGGAAAGTACGGGAAGCAGTGGTAGGAATGCAAGACCTGAAGGATAATTGCAGCAAAGTAGAAGTCTTGCATTGTCTCATGTTCCATGAGGAGTGATGGGAACGGTTGTGTGGATAAGGCAAAGTCTGAAAATTATTAGTTTCTTTTTTAGGCTCAAGTGTGATCTTAATGAAGTTAGAGTTGTGGTCTGGAGTTAGAGAAGTGGGTCACAAAATGAGAGTTCTGTATATATTGCAATGATGTGAGAAGAAAATGAGAGGCAATAGATGGAGAAGAAAGCAGTGTCTTGTGAAATACTGTGATGGAAATAACAGTTCAAGATGGAAAGTCAGTCAAGCAGATCTGTAAAAGGAAGTCTGCAAACAGATTTCAAAAGAATACTTTAGGAGAGATACTTCACCAAAACAGTGACAAACAGGATAAATCAATAGTTTGGAAACTTTAATGCAATCCAAGAATAAGCTTGAGAGATGGTCTGTTAATGGAGACCAACACTGAACAAACACCATGACATGATTTAATTGGCTTCAATACATTAATGAAGATCCTTCAGGCATGATGACGTTCATGTTTTCATTGTGTTAGACTACACATTTCTTACTGTATGGTTTGTATGATGTTAGTGTCTTCCTAAAATGAAGTTTGATGGTGATAAAGTAATTCTCAGCACATTAAACTAATATCTGTATCTGTTTAAATAGCAGTCAAATCTGGGGCAGCATTACCAGAACATTTCTGTCCTTTCAAGACAGAATTTCAGAACATGTCTGTCCTGTTCTGTGGAACAAATACTTTCAAGGCCTTATTTCTTAAAACCTATCTAAGTAAAGATATCTGCAACATAAATAAATACTGGGGGTATTTTAGTCAGAAGACTGTTAAATGTATATTACCATAACTATAGTAGTTGAAGATCACTGGAGTTCTCAAGGTGCTTTGATTCCCCTTTCCCTTATGTTGGTAGTTTGGTATGGACCAAAGCATTTAAAATAAAATGTATTCAGCTTGTAAGAATGTCAAGATCAGGGTTATGAAATTTTTATGCAAAAATTGCAGGTTCTTTTGAATGCTTATGAAGCTGCAGCTGATAGACAGATTTAGCCATTTACTCAGTCACCGAGTCAAGGATATTTGATTGTTGCTGCAAATCCATAGCTATTGTGAAGCTAAACAGAAAATTGCATCACTTTTCTGTGCAAGAAATTGTAGGAATGTGGGGGAAATACTAAAAAAAAAGTGGTCCACCAGAGTTTTCTCCCAAGATTGTGTAATTCTTGAATGTTCCCTTGCTAAGGAATTTTGAGATGCTTTAAGATCTAATGAGTTTTTTAATAGAGTCTGTTATGTTGTTGTTCCCCATTGTGTTACTCATGTAAAAAGTAATACTTTCCTTCTTTATGTCCTCAAAGCTTATTCTCACCCTTCAGTGCAATAATTGTGGAGAGGTTGAACTTCTTGGAATCCATTGTGTTTTTGTATAACAAAAAAGATTCCTCTATTAGGAATGACATGTTCTCTTTCACATTCTGTAATTTGACTAAAGAAAGCAATTCAGAAAACATGAAATTTTTTTTTGTCTTCTTTAGTCATTCCAGTTTTTATTGCTTGCTATCTCAAAACAAAGGCAAGAGGAGCACACACATACTAAGTAGGATACACTTTCAGGCAGAACGTAATCAATTGACAAAAATATCAGAATGTGGAAGCATATTGACTAATTCTTCAATCTAACCCGTGTACACAAGCTACAAAACACTTGAAAAATGCCTCAGCTCTAATGGTCTTTGCTGAGCTATTTCAGCTGTGTTTGGTGGGCTGTTCTGGGAGATAAGGGGGCCCATTTGCTGTGATCTGTTGCCTCTCTAGTCTCTCTGCTTTCATAAGCAGCAGCTTTTGGTTAGTGTCAGCCACTGAATGAAGGTTTTTTCTTGTTATATAACTGGTGATCAGCTCTGAATTTTACAAATAAGTGACTCTCCAATGCAGCCTCCCATCAGAAGGGGCTTTGTTTTTTGTCTCCTTCTGTCTGGTTTGCAAGTAAATTGTTCCTGCTACAGCCCTGTGTGGCTTGATGCTCTCACCCTTGGTGACAGCAAAGCTTGCTGGCTGGTGATCTCTGCAGGGGTTTATGGCTCAGCTCTGCTGTTCTCTCCCTCTGTTCTCACTTCTCTGTTCCCTCCCCTACTGTGACTAAATAAATTACCTGTATGACATGTTCGGTTTTCTCTGGCAAGAAGCCTGGGAAATCAAATCTGTTCCCAAACCTGGGTCTCCCATTTGGCAAATATAATGCCTCCCTGCTGTTAAATCAGGTCAGCTCTCAGGAAAAACAAAGAACAATTTCATATAGCTATAATCAACACAGAGTAAATTTAGATAATGCGGCTGACATATGTTTATTGTAAAGACCATCAAGGAAATAATTTTAAAAGCCCTTAATCTTTGCTGCATCAGGATACATGGTGAACATTCTGTGTACAGAGAAGATCAAAAAGTTTTTTTCTGTTATCCCATATCAAAGTGAAATGTATCTATTTTCTGTCTGGTCTAAGAAGATTTTTGGTGGAGAGTTTCATTGGTTGTGCGAGAAACAGTTATATATTTAATTATGTAGATTGATGGAATTAATATTAATTAATACTTAACTATTAATTATTCATAGTCTACTTCCTTTCACTTTCTGGCCTCTGAAAGTGGAGACATAAGTGTTTTGAGGAGGATAAATAAATGCTTTTAATAGATTGTTTTATTTTTTCTGCTTTTCCACTGGAGATGAGGCTGCAGGTCACCTGTGGCTCTGTGGCTGCAGTGCTACAGGCTGTGCAGTCTCCTTGCAGAGGGAAGCACCAGCATGGGCAGCCTCCCTTCTCCAGCTGGAAGCTGAATTTGCTGCTCAGCTCTCTGGGTGTCCCACGGGGCTCTGAATTGCACCCCAGAGGTTCTTTGTTCATGCTGTTAAGGAGCTCCTGCAGCCTGCCCAGGGCTGTGGAGTGTCTCCAGTCTCCCCTGTCCAGCATGGCTGTGCTGGGGGAGCACAGCAAGGGTTTGCTGTGGGCAGGCTGTGCTTGTGCTTGTTGGGGTCTGAAACAGTGCTGAACCCCTGAGCTTGCCCCCAGCCCTCTTCAAAGGTGGAGCAGGCAGTTCCTAGTGCCCCTGGGGCACCCTCAGGGCTAGTACTAGCCTAAACTATGAGGGTCTCCTGTGCTGAGCTCCCAGGGCCAACTGTGCTGCCATTTATTCACTAGAGTTAGTCAAAACCAGGATCCCTGGCTGCCTTACACTCTTACACAGTCTTCTCATCACTACTGACTGAATTGTTGCTGAGGGCCCTGGCTGGAAATGTTTTCTAACTGCAGCTGAATATCAGGTTGCCTGATGTGGAGAGGTCCAGCGAGAACATGACATGTATGGTGGCCTGAGTAGCAGAGCAGACTGTCCAGGTCTCTCTGTGGTCTGTTTTTCAAACTCAGCATGAGAAAAATGGTTCATTCCCAAAAACAGATGGGGTCAAATGTATATGCTGTGTTTTCAAATGATAGGTGCTTTTCCAGGTCTTTTTAAGGACAGCTGCAGTGTTGCTAATGATTGGTTAGTCATTCATGGGTTGTCTTGGTTCTAAAGAATGCTTTTGTTATTTCTTCAGTGCTCTGAGATGCACAGTGAATGTTTTTTATCAATTTAAATTATCAATTTAAAAATTCCCTCAAAGCTCTGCTGTATGAGGCAAGTCCTTGGAAGGGAAATGGCTCTTTATTGTCCCAAATCTTCATCCAGTGTATCCAACAAGGATTAAGTGGTTAAAGCAGTGAAGTGATTTGTAAAAAATGGGAATTCAGTTCCTGCATGCACCAGGACTGATGTGAAGCAAGGGCCATCATCTCCATCCACATCAGCTGTGTCTCAGGGACTGGCAGTAGTTACGTTATCTGTCCTCAACTTGGGCATACCAGGACAGATTGCAGATACTGTGTCCTTCTCTGAAAGTACAGGCCCTAATGCCGAAAGGCTTCAGCTGAAAGCGCGATAGAAATAATTTCAGCTCTGTGTTGATGGCAAGGGCAAAACCTTCCTCGTTCCCTTCTTAGCATCGAGGTCGGCCAAAGGAATTGCTGAGCTCGTTCAAACCCTGCTTTGCATCTTCTCTTCTCCAGCCTGCGACCTGATGACCCTGGGCATCTTGGCGCTGGTGACGTCGACGGGCTGCGCATCAGCCAACGCGCTGCAGTCGCTGACGGACGCCATGCACATCCCGCACCTGTTCGTGCAGCGCAGCACGGGCGGCTCCCCGCGCACGGCCTGCCAGCTCAACCCCAGCCTGGAGGACGAGGAGTACACGCTGGCCGCGCGCCCGCCCGTGCGCCTCAACGACGTCATGCTCAAGCTGGTCACCGAGCTGCGCTGGCAGAAGTTCATCGTCTTCTACGACAGCGACTACGGTAAGGACAGCGCTCTAGGCACCAGCACGCTGGGCTCTTCTCAGCTGGGAGGTGGGGAGGGAATGGAAAGGGAAGGGTGGAAGAGATGCTGGGTTTTTCACTGACAAAGTGTTTTGAGTGGATGCCGGTCTTTGTCTTGAAGGAAAGGTTGCTGTGAAGATGAGTTCCCAGAGAAGGAGCAAAGTTGCTTAGCAACACCTACCCAGACAGACAAAGTTTGAATCTTCTCACACTTTTTCAGTAAAATATTAATCAAGTGTTGACATTGATCAGCAGGGGTCACATAGATGTGCAAGGAAGTCCAGCAAGGTCTCTACTTGTTCCAGAAAATGCTTTCTATCAAAGCTGAGTACTGTTCTCTTTACAAATAAATTTTTGCAATAGCTATTACTTTTTTTTCGTTCTTCCACACACCATCCTGTACCTGGACTAAATTTCACAGTGATATTCCTGGCATTAAACTGAAAAGTAGAGTTAGCATTTTCTCTAAATCTCATGCATTTCCTTCAGTAAAATTCTCCCTTTGAGCTGGAGCTTGAAGAGGAGGAGTCTCTGCCCTGGTACCTTATGATAGGCATAAAGAATAATAAACCCCCAAATCTCTCATCATGCTGGGCTCTCAGAGGGAAAGAGAACTGTGTATACATTTTTTTTATATCCCCTCCCACCCCTGCTCAACTGATATGAACGCTGTTCCATATGTTTAACTTGTGGTATATTCAGCAATCCTGTCTTAGCATACAGGATCTGTAATGGGGAAAATAAATCTTGTATTTTTTAAAACCCTGCTAACATTTTTGCTTTAAAATGTGATGCAAAATCTTTTGCCATGGTGATTTACCATGAACAGAATATAAAAAAAGCAAACTTAAGATTAAATCACAGAAAGAAAAAACAATCTTATGTATGTCTATGAATATATAGTTTAGATTTTATACATCTTCCACCATTGCAAAATAAATCTTTATTTGCATTCTCCCTATATACTATCAGATTTTTAGTGGCAAGTGAGAGAGAAATAGCATCTTTGGTTTTGAAGTTTGGTTAGTTAGTTTTGGGTGCTAGTTTTGGTTAATCCTGAGTCTTGCGTGCAGGTTTGTCTTCTCAGTTGCTACATAGTTATTTGCTGTTTCTTTAACAAGAACATTGAGGATGATGAGGATGGGTTTAAGTAGGAAATCAACTGAGACTGCAACATCTTTTTAACAACATAGAATTGTTTTAAGCATGAGAAGACTTCCATGATGCTTGTAGAGCTAATCTGTAGGCTCAAAAAATCTAGTAACCTAGCAAATAAACTGTCCTGTAATTACTGTCCTCTGCAATGCTTGACCAGTGAATGCTTTAAAAGCAGAAGTCACAAGGTACGTGGTAGGTGTTCTTTTGGTGGCCTTGTGGTAGTGATAAGAATGTTGCTCTTTAGCAGAGGATTGGGTTTAAAGAGCTGAAATTATTCTAACAGTTGATTTCAAGAATGAAGGGGGAAGTAATAATCATATTAGGATGTCTTAGAAACACCCCAGGTGCTCAATGTGCAAACTGCTGTTTTCCCTCCTAGCCTCTCTGCTTACTGAACTATTATTCCACTAACTGCACCCTTATTTCAGTGATGCATCTGTGTTTCTTTGTCTTTTTCTTCTTTATTTTTTGTTGCAGAGGTTTAACATCTCAGTATCAAATCCTGAAACCCTTAATTCACGTACCTCTAAATTCAGTTATGATCAAATTGATCTTTTCTATTTGGCACAGGCTGTATCAGTAAGACATTAAGGTTATGGAAAACTGCCACAGCATTCTTCTCCTTCCAGTGGGGAGTGTGGTGTTGTGTGCATTGCAGCTGCTCTTTCCTCTCCTTCTCCTCATGGATGTGTCATCCATCTTAGGCTAATTCCAGTAGAATAATTTTATTTGTAACAATTTGGTGTGAGGGGTTTCCATAAAGTTCCAGGTGAACCTTGCCAGATCTGGGCATGGATTGGTGAACAGAGGATAAATAACCAATCCACCTCCCAGGGTATTGCATGCTGAGCTCCTAAACAGATGCATGGCTCCAGGGGCATGGCCCTTTCCTCAGCATTGAGCTTCTGCAGAGCCCCGCTCCTGCTTATCCAGCAGCACCTCCCTGCCCATTGGGCAGGAGTTCCCTGGTGGCCATGATGAGGGACATCACATATTTGTGACTACAGAGAGTTTCCAGCACTGAGCTTTGGTTCGGTTTTCTATAGTGAGTGGTCCTTCTCTACCTGGCCTCTGAAAGTTGTACCGTTCTTTTGATTAGTGTTTTAATTTGCTCATTTGCTGGTCTCTAAAGGCCCTTGGTGTCCTCCTTGTGGAAACTGTCAGGTTTTCTGAAGACTAAATAGCATTGCACAATTTAAAGAATGTCCCACACTGTATTATGTTGAAGCTGAAAATTATTTATTAAAGTTGTTACTTGTCCCTTCTTTGACATACATTTGGAATTATAATTTCTGTGGAAAAGTAATGGACTTGGCTGTTAGAAACACAGAGTAGTTTCTGAACAGCCTAACAAGCCCCTAGTATTCTTGTGGTTACAATGAAATATGCATTTTTTCACACTTAAATGACAGATAAAATGTATGCACAACTTCAGTGAAAGGATATAGTTCTTTACAGTAAAATGCTTTAAAGTCTACAACTAGAAATTGAGAGATTCCTGCTGAGCTGTACCAATAGGGGAAAGATTGGTTTATAATTGTCCATTCAGTTTCCCTGTATTTATACAAGAAAAGATAGAAGGTAATACTGATATTGTATCTTCATGATTAGCCCTTGTTTTTGCACTTCTCTCATTTATGGCTTGTGCATGGTTTCAGAAGATGCACAGAATCCTGCTCCCCATTGATCACACTGGGAGGCTGCTGTTGCTGAGACTGACGTTCAGTTTTTGGTGAAAAAACCAGCTGCCCTTAAGTTTGCCAATGTCTCTCAGATGGTGCTCTGTGGAACCAGGTCCACCCAGCTGTAAAAGTATTTGCAACAGAATTCTGATCTGTTGTGTCATCCTGAGGAGGTTCAGTTGTGCTGATGTGTTTTGGATTATGTTTTCCTCTACAGGAGCATCTTTTGTGCCTCCATATATATTGCAACAATGTGCATAGGCCTGCTGGGAAGTTTAATATTTTATTTTGCTGACCTTCTGGATGTAAAAGTATCAGTAATCAAACTTTCCTGACAGAAAAATTGGTAGTGGGGCAAGTTTCATAAAGAATCCTACCAAGCTGTAAAATGACTATCAGTTAAAAGCAGTGGGTGCCACCCACCAGAAGATGAGGTTGGGAAATAAACAGTTGAAACTGTGCTTCTAGGGTGAGCAAATAAACAGATGTGTGGTGAGAGGATGGATTTGAGAAGGGTTTTGGAGGCTGGATGTGAAATGAAAACAATGAGGCATATTAAATCATTTTTCTGAAATGTGAGTAATAGCGATGTTTTCACTAGATTAACCTTACTACTGAAAAACTCCTTTTATCTCTATAGTTAGATTAGGTCTCTGCTTTCCTTCATACATGTCTGCATATCTGTATTACAAAATGTAAGTTAAAATAGGGGCTTTTTATGATTTCACTTTGTCAATGAAAGTGGTATTAGACCTGTGAAAAGTAGCTGCAATAGTTTATTCTTAAGTTTTGGCGTCAGTGAGTGAGTGTTGTTTGCTGAAGTGTTGTATAAAAGTTTTACAGAAGAAACTTTTGAGGATCATTTGACCTCCTAAACCAAGCTATGAAGCTTGGTTCCTACAGGAGAAAAACCCCAAGGCCACAGTTTATTGGTTTTTAATTTTTTTTTTTTCCCCCAAGATTAGAGGTCTGTTCTTTTTCATTGACGCTGCATTAACTTTGAATGCTGCTTGATCCATCTTGCTATGTGGAGGGAACTTAATTTTTGATATGACTAGTTTTGTGGGAAGTTGTGTTTTCCATAGCGATTATGTGGCAGTTTCATTTTTGAGTCCTGCCTGTCAAGGGCCTCATCCATGATTGTAATTTACAGGAATTGTTCTGTTAATAGTTTTACAGCAAGATATATTGGTTCTGGAATGGTCTGTCTTTTGTCAAGATTCCTTTGTGCAAGCTGCTAGCTTGCATATATTTAATTTGCAGAGGAATGTAATGAAAATTGAGGAATGCATGCATTTGCACAGTCCACGTGGGGCACTGCAAATCCCTTGTGATGTGAAACATTGACTGTTGCAACAAAAAAGAAGCAATACAGAGCATTTGCATATGAGCTACTTTCACCTTACCTGCTTTAAGTTTTCTTTTATCCTTGTTTATAACTTCTCCTTTCTGTGTCATGATTTCAGCTGCCAGACAACCAGTTCTGCATCATTGGGGCTGCCATATTTCCAGTGAGCATGCCTTGCTTAACATAAATACAGGCAATGTGATACCTGAGGTGTTGAGCCACCTGTACACACCTGAGGTGTTGAGCCACCTGTACCTGTGTTGGTATGTGCCTCTTCAGCAAATCTGACCCTGCCAGGAAGTGTCTGACTTGTCCTGCATGAGCTGTGCTGATAAGAGTGTGCATGTGTTATTAAAAATACCTGGTTTTCTTCCAAATGGTTGATGCATCCCAGCTGGAATTGTTGTGGAGAAGCTTGAATTGAGATTGCTGTTTAACAGTAAGATATATGGATTTTAGGCAGCCAGCTGCAGAGAAATTTAACTTCTTTATGCTCATCAGTCTGCAACAGCAATCACTTAGGGAGGGAATCCTCAGCCACCTCTACATTGATGCTGCTGTATGAGGTAATAAAGGGCAGGGATGGACTGGAGCTAAGCACCTTTTCACCTAGCAGGGAACAGAATTGCCTGAATATTCTACACAATTTCTGCAGTACCTAGTTTCTCAGGCATAACTGCACACTGGATGTCTAGTTTCCAGAGTTGTATAAAATCTACCTGGAAAAATGAAGGCCTTCCTGTAAAAAGTTTTTGTCTTTTAGTGTATGTTCATCATTGCAGCTGCAGAGA